AAGGTACCAGTCCTTGGAGAAGGTCGTCATGTATGGGAGGATGGAGGGACAGCACAGGAGAGGAAGACCCTGAACGAGATGGATTGATTCAATGACTGGGGTAATAGGGGTAGGTGCGTCAGAGACAATGAGATTGGCACAGGACAGAGCAAGGTTTAGGGCTATTGTACATAGGGTCGCTATGAGTAGCAGGCTCCTTAACAGTACATAACAACAACAAGAACAAGATCGATTTGCAGCTCAGTGTTGCTGCTTTGGAACCGATTCGTTCCTCCTAGTTGCATTTTCAAGTTCTGATGGCAAAGAGAATTGTGTTGCTAACCCAAATGCGGTGCCTCTGGTCATTTCCTCTCTCCAATCTTTGAAGAAGTCATCACTTTCATTCATATCTCACATTTTCCTGGAACAAGAATTTTTCACCATCATGTAACACAATCTGTAAACAAGGTAGTAACTTCTGTGCTTTTATGGGATTTTTATTCAATTTTGCAAAAGGTCCATGAATGTATTCATCTTTTTACACCACCAACCATTTCATTTTCTCTTTAACATTTTTCTTCTACTTTCTTTGTGCTTAATTGGCTTATAATTTTCCAGCACCTTGAGTGAAACATTAGAATTTTTATTTCAATGATTTATTTATTTATAATATGTATGCAAAGTAATAATTTGTTTCACATCACTGCTTTAGTTGTTGGATTTTTATGTTTATATTTTCTTTTTAATTATCTCAATGTATTTCTAAATTTTATGATGATTTCTTCTTTGAGTCATAGGCGACTTAGGACTCTGTTGCTTAATTTTTTTTGCTAGATGTTTTCTAATTGTTGCATTCATTATATTATTCATAATATAATAATAGTTATTATACTGGTTATTATCATACTAGAATAATATTAGTATAATAACATAAATATATTATTACTCACTAGGCACAAGTGTTGAAGTGTCTTACTATTAACTGGAAAAAGTGGCAGTTCAACTTCACTCAGAGGAAAATTGGAAAAGAATCTGATGATTTATTTCCATTTGATCACTGCTTCGATAATCCCATAAAGCACTGTCAGTGTGAAGACTAAAGTTCACCTATTTACAACATGGTCTTGTCAATCACCTGAAAGATGGACACTGACTAAGGATGACAGAAGAAGAATTGATGCCTTTAAGTTATGATGTTGGAGAAGAGTGCTGAATATCCCACAAACTGCCAAAAGAAGGGATATATATGTCTATACATACATACAAAAGTCACTATGTATGCAAAAGTCACCTGCATACAAAAGTCACCATGAGTCAGAGTCTATTTGGCAGTAGCTAAAAAGAATTACTACAATTTCACTATGATCAGAGAACAATCTATTTAAAAATTCTTTAATATTATTAACCTTAAAGACCTAATTTTGTAATTTTTTAGGTACAGTTTTTAATAAATATTATTGAGGCTGGTGAATATTGTACAAATATTCTGAATCTTTAAATTTTTTCTGTCTGTCATTGAAAGAACTACATCAAAATTTCCAATTAAGTTTTTAAAATTTATTATTGTCTAATCAAATTTTACTCTTTTGAATTTTTATTTAGGTGACATTCATGTAACATGAAAGCCATTTTGAAGTGAATAATTCCCTGTCATTTAGTGTTCAATCTTGTGCAACCATTTCCTCTGTTTAAGTTTTAAATATTTTCGTTACTCCAAAGTAAAGCTTCATATCCATTACACAGTCATTCCACATGTCCTCTTTCTCTAGCTTCTGACAACCACCAATCTACATTTAATTTCTGTGGAATTAACGCAATTGGATATTTCCTGAGCAACTCTGGAAGTACAATGGTAAAATGCTGTACTGTTAACTGAAAGGTTGAAAGTTTGGAACTACCAGCCACTCGTAAGAAAAAGATGTGGCAGTAGGCTTCTATAAAGATTGTTGCTGTTGTTAGCAGTCATCGAGCTGAGCATGATTTGTAGCGACCCTAGGAACAACAGACCTGAAACCTGCCCTATCCTGTATCATCTTTATAATGTCTGACATAATAGAGCATATTGCTGACATCATTGTGTCAACCGATCTCATTGGAAGTCTTCCTCTCCATTACTGACCTTCCATCCTTCTAAGCATGATGTCACTTTTCAAGATATAACCTCTCCTAGCTACATGTCCCAAGTATGGGATATGAAACTTTGCCACCTCTGCCTCCACGTAGAGTCCCAACTGCATCTTCTCAAAGACATATCTGTCTGATCTTTTGGCAGTCTATGAGGTATTCAGAACTCTTATCTGACATATTAACTTAAAGGCATTAATTCTTCTGTCATCCTTATTCGTTGTCCAGCTCTCTGACACATAGCAGGTGATTGACAAGACCATGTTCTGGATCAGGTCCATGTTAGTCTTCAAACTGACATTATTCTGACATTATTCTTCAGTATTTTGGAGAAATCTTTTACAACAGATTCACCCAATACATTTCTTGATTTCCTGATTGCTGGTACCAAGGGTATTGTTGTTGAACAAAGCAAGATGAGATCATTGACAGCTTCAATCCTTTCTCCATTTATCGTGATGTTGACTCTTGGCCCTGTAGTGAGGACTTTCATTTACTTGATGCTGAGATATTATTGACTATGCCAGAATCTGCACTACCAGGAATGAAAAACTTAAGAAAAGGGTGTGTGTTTATAGTTTAAAAGGACAATTTCAAGATCTATCACTAAATATAATGCTGTGAATAATAGGAAACTGCTCATAGGCATATAAGGAAGATCTGATAATATCAGTTAATATTAACTAACAGTTAATATGGCTGTTATTCAAAGATATGCATCAAAACTGAAGCCAAACAGGAGGAGATTGAGAATTTACAACAACTTTTGGAGCCCAAAATTGACCAATCATATAGTGACTGGAATGAAAATGTTGGAAACAATGTTGTTGTTGTTGCTGTTGTTGTTATGTGCCATCAAGTCACTTGCGACTCTAGCGACCCTATGTACAACAGCCCTAAACTCTGCTCTGTCCTGTGCCAATCGTACTGTCTCTGACACTCCCATCCCGATTATCCCAGTCACTAAATCAATCCACCTCATAGAGGGCCTTCACCTCCTGCGCCATCCCTCTACCGCCCCAAGCATGATGTCCCTCTCCAAGGACCGGTCTCTCCTCACAACACGTCCAAAGTATGTTAGATGGAGCCTCAGAATCCTTGTCTCCAAGGAGCCACCCGGTTTAACCTTTTCCAGGTCGAATCTGCTTGTTTTCCTAGCAGTCCATGGTGCTCTCAATACTCTTCTCCAGCACCACAGCTCAAAGGCATCACTTCTCCTCCTATCCTCTTTGGTCATTGTCCAACTTTCTGATGCATAACAAGTGATTGCGAAGACCATGGCCTGTATCAAACGCACCTTAGTCTCCAGAGAGACACCATTGCTCTTCAGTACTTTGGAGAGGTCCCGAACAGCAGACTTTCCCATGGCAATATGCCTTTTAATTTCCTGGCTACTGGTGCCAAGAGTGTTGACTGTGGAGCCAAGCAAACTAAAGCCGTGTACAATCTCAATCTCTTCACCATCCATCCTGATGCTGCCAGTTGGTCCAGTGGTGAGAATCTTTGTCTTCTTGACATTGAGCCTCAATCCATATTGGAGGCTGCAGTCCTTGACCCTCTGCAGCAGGTACTTCAGGTCCTCTTCAGTTTCAGCAAGCAGGGTTGTGTCATCTGCATAACGCAGATTGTTGATAAATCGTCCACCAATCTTGACTCCACATTTCTCCTCATAGAGCCAGCCCAGGCTCCCGGAGAATCTGTTCTGCATATAGGTTGAAAAGGTATGGAGATAGGATGCAACCCTGGCATACGCCCTTCCCAATTTTGAACCATGCAGTCTTCCCTTGCTCTGTTCTGACGACTGCCTCCTGGTCCAAGTATAGGTTTTGCATTAGCATGATCAAGTGTTCTGGTTGGAAACAATGAGGAAGGAATGATAGTTGGAAAGCATGGTCTTGATAACAGAAATAAGGCTAGAGATAGTATGATTTTTTTCAATTATTTATTCATAACAATTATCTTTTTAAAAAAATGCAAAAGGTGAGATTTTTAAAAACACATGGACCTCACCAGATGGACTGCAAGGAAATTAGATTGACTGTATCAATGAAAGATATACAATTGTTCAGGTTTTCATTCTATGACTCGACGGCACTTAACAACAACAAAATATCAATGGAAAGAATAATTGAAGTAATGCAATATCAGGAGTCAAAAGCAGACTAGGTGGCAGTTAAGAAACAGACCATCAATTATTCATCTGCATGCTTAAATTGAAGCTAAAGAAAATTAAAACTAGCACTCAGGAAGCAAAATATAACCTAGTTTCTATACATAATTATTATACCCTTATAAATGAGCTCCCTTATACATAATGTAAGGTTAAAAAAAAGTATATGTCTACCCAGTCCTAGAAGGATTTGTGTGAGTTGGAATAGACTTGATGGCTGTAGAGTTGGTTTGCTTTTTAATATTTCATCTAAATAAAATCATTGTGATAGGTTATTTTTACTTAGCATAATGATTTTGACAGTTACCCATGTAGTAACACCTATCAGTATCTCACTGGTTTCTAAGGCTGAGTAATATCTTACTGTGTGTAAATACTAGATTTGTAAAGCCTTTAAACAATTGATGGACATACAGGTTGTTTCTGTCTTTTGCCTTTTAAAATTAGTGTTGCTATGAATATTTATTCAAATGTGATTGAGATAAAGTCTTTTCAAGTCAGTTCTTAACCTTTGAATGTCATTCAATACCAAATTCACCATGCTTCATTGGTTTCCAAGGCTGAACATCTTAACAGTAGAGACTGCCTGTTGTTCTTCTACAGAACCACCTGTTGGTTTGAACTGCCAGAGATGTTCAACCTTTTAGTTAGCAGTATAGCATGCTGTGAAGCAGGCTGTCCAAGCTCTTTGTCATTTAATAAATCTACTTCATTTTCCCTTGTGCAGGATTCTAATATATGCAAACACTACAGAGTATTGCCAAGGATGGGTTACCTTTGCCCCAAAGATTTCCACCCTGTCTGTGGCGATGATGGCCAGACATACAATAATCCCTGCATGCTTTGTCATGAAAATCTGTAAGTACAAATTTCTCATCAACATATATTCCATTGTAGACATTTTCATTTATAGACTTGTCTCATAGCAGTGCCCGGATAATATCTATTTGACTTTCACTGCCAATAATTTTTAATAATAGCAGCAAAAACATACCCTCATTTGTGAATGACTTTCGTTACATTTAAAATAAGAAGTGTTTAAGCTATTCCTTTAATAAAATTGCTAGTATATAAAATAGAGAGGATTTTCAATTATTCCTTTAGCAAATTATTTACATACATTGTTAGATATATTACAGAGTGTACAATAAAGAGAAAAATGGTGGGTTACAACAAATTACAGAATTTCTTTCTAAGCTTATATACACTCAAAGGAGTGCAAATTTGATCCTCTACATGGTAGAGAGAGAATGATTGTTAACCATTGCTATGAATGGTCAGTACAGTCCATAATTACTCCAGTGCCCTGACAGCATGATTGTCCAGTGTCTCTGAGATATCTGCTCAGAGGAGAAAATGGTATCATTCAAAAGAAAGAGCATATTGGAACAAGTGACAAAGCTGAAAACGACTACAGACTTATTATTATCTGTGCATCTGTGGACATATTAGTTCATCATTCTGAGACTTGTTTGAGTAATATGAAAAGTAGATCTATTCTCCGAGCCAGCTGACTTAAAATATATTGAGAAGGAATGGCACTCTCATTGTCCCTTCATGTTTGCCAATTATGAGAGTGAATTTTCTTTTTGACATTTCCTTTGTTCTGTTTCAGAATACGCCAAACTAATACACGCATACAAAGTTTAGGAAGGTGTGAAGAGACCACCACCCACCCATCAAGTTTCTCCAGCACAAGAACAGCACCCGTAAGCATGCCATCATTTTTACAAATGATTTACATATGTTCATGGTTTTGGTTATGGTACAAGAAGACCAAGTTGTTCCTGCTTCTGTTATTGTGCAGTAAATAAGTAACATTTCTATGTCATGGAAACTATACAGCTCAGATTTTCCCATCATTTATCATATTTCTTTAAAGGCATTGACTAAAAATAACACATCGGTAACTGATGGGATATCAATTAACATGTTTCGAATAACACATGTTGAACTGGATATGCTCACTAGTCTGTGCCAGAAATATTGCAGACAGCTACTAAAAGAAATCCATGATTGTTTCAATCCCAAGAAAGGCAATCCAATAGAATGTGGAAATAATTTAACAATATCATTACTATCACATGCATGCAATACTGCTTAAGATAATTTAAAAATGGTTAGACCAGTACATTGAGAATTTCTAGAAATTCAAACTGGCATGAAGAGGCCATGGAACCAGGGATATAATTTCTGGTGTCAGAATGAACCTGACTGAAAGAAAAGAATACCAGAAGAATGTCTATTTGTGTTTTCTTGACATTTGACTGTGTGGATCATAACAAATTATGGCTAAGCTTGAAAAGAATGGAAATCCTAGAACACGTGACATGTAAAACCTATATCTAGACTGTTGTTTGTACGAACAAGTGAACACTACTATATGGTTTAGAGCTGAGAAAAGTGTGTGTCGAGGTTGTATTCTTTTTTTCTCTCCGTAATCTTCAGTCTGTATGCTGAGAAACTTATTCAAGAAGCTAGACTCAATGTGGAGGAATATGACCACAAGATTGAAGGCAGACTCATCAATAACCTTTGTTATGCAGATGACACAACCTTGCTTGCTGAAAGTGAGGAGGACTTAAAGCACTAACTGCAGAAGATCAAATAGTATAGCCTTCAATATTAATTGCATATAAACATCAAGAAAACAAAATTCTCACCACTGGACTGAAGTCAGATGGACTTTGATTGAAAGAAAAGAATACCAGAAGAATGTCTATTTGTGCTTAATTGAGTATTGTGAAAAAGACATTTGACTGTGTGGATCATAAAAAGTTATGCCTAATATTAAGAATGGGAATCCCAGAGCACTTAATTGTGATCATGTGAAACCTATATCTATGCTAGGAGGCTGTTGCGTGAACAGAACATAAGAACACTACATGGTTTAAAATTAAGAAGAGATTGTGTCAGGGTTGTATATTCTCTCTCTACCTATTCAATCTGTATGCTGAGAAAATTATTTGAGAAACTGGACGCTGTGAAGAGGAATGTGGCATCAGGATCGTAGGGAGACTCATCAGTAACCTGAGTTATGCAGATTATAAAATCTTGCTTGCTGAAAGTGAGAAGGACTTGAAGCACTTGCAGGGGAAGACAAAATAATATAGCCCTCAATATAGATTGCATCTTAATGTCAAGAAAACAGAGATTCTTACCTTACCACTGGACGGAGAGGCAGCAATATGATAGATGGAGAGGATTTCCAATCGATACACTTTTTTTTTTTTAATCGATACACTTGACACCACCGTTCAGAAAATCAGGAGACATATTACACATAGGAAGTATGCCGTCAGGAATCTCTACAAATTCCTGAATATCAATGACATCAGTTTGAGGACTAACATGCACCTGATTCAGGCATGATCTTTTCATTAACTTGCTACATTTCTCAGGGCTAGCCAACAAATAAAGATGACAGAAGAAGAAATGATGCTTTTGAGTTGTAGTATTGGAGAAGAGTGCTGAATAGTCCATTGAAAGCCAAAAGAACAATCAGATGTGCTTTGGAGAAAGTACGGATGACTAAGCTTCATCTCTCATAATTTGGATGTGTTGCTAGGAGAGATTATTCCTTGGAAAGGGACATGATTCTTGGGAAGGTGTAGGTTCAGTGAAAGAGAAGAACCTCATTGAAATGGATTGACACAATGACTGCAGCAACGGTCTCAAATATGTCCGAGATTGTGAGAATGGCACAGGATAGGACGAGGTTAGGATCTGCTGTTTATAGGGTTGCTGTGAATTATACTTGACTTGATGGAACCTAACAATAACAATTGACAAATTAATATCCTTATTATTTTTATTATGCCTAAAAATTATAAATATGAACTTACAGAAACAGAAGAGCTTAAGTATGAATGTATAGAAGTACATTTGACACAATGTTTATTTTTAGTAAAAATTCTTGATAATATAGTAGAGTTACACTTTTCTAGATATTAGGTGACTGATAATTCTTACTTACGGAACTAGCTAACATCAAGAATGTGAACTTGGTGTTTATATTTCTTCCAGGACTTTGACATGATATACATATGTGGGCAATTTCACAACTGTTTTCAACCCGTTCCACACCACAATACGCTTTGACAATAGAATTAAAGACCAGTCTAAAAGTTTTGGTGCTCTTGGTCAAAGAGCATGATAAAATAATTTAGAATCGTAAATGTCTTTATGTGAAAAGTTGAGAAAAACTATTAGAATATTCCCAATTTTACTCTAGTAGCTTGAAAGCATGGTAAAGTAGAATACTGAAATAGAATCAAGAGATCTCCCTTTTCTTTTGTGTGAATTTAACAAATAGTTTATCTACTCTGAATCTCTACAAATTTATGAAAGGATAGTGTTTAAAACTGTATTCCACTCCCCGTACTGTGTTTGCTATGTTATCAAATATAAATTATCAGTAGGTTGCTTCCCATTTTATTAGTAGTCTATATTGTCCAGCCTCCCCACAAACACACCCAGTTACATATATCTCAGAACAGGGAGGATAGAATGAGGGCTGGTAGAATCCTTATGTAAATCCTATAGAACACACCAAGGACTACCGCCCCTTGTTATAATCCTGCTGCTGCTAAGCAACCTGGCAAGACACCAAAACCAAACTAAAATCACAACAACAAAACCAAAAACTACTATGTAGGAACTTACCACAGAGTCATGCAAATAAGTATTCATTAAAATAATTAGGAGTTTAGTATGAAGATGTATTGTACAGGTATTCCTCTTCATTTTTGAGGTGTTTGCTTTAAATAAAAGTTGCATAACTGACTTGAGTAATTTGAGTAATGACTAAAATTGTTTATTATGAAAATTTAGGAACCAAATCAATAGAATAAGAGAGATCCTGGACATAGAATGGGCAAACTGCTATTTGATTCAGTTTTATGATTTAGGTAGAGGACAGATAATATAGACGAATAATGACCCAGCATAGTTCTGATGATGACTTGAAGTCACAGTTCAACTGATAATTTGACGTTTAGAACCTATTGCCTTAAATTTCTTACTGGGAAGAAGATTCTAAAAGTCTGTAAAAAGACAGCCAGCCATAACTTTCCTGGGAAAAGATATTAAGGAGTCTGGAAACCATTATTATTTGGTTTGCTGTTTAGCAGACAAGTTATGATGAGACTTCATCTCACAAACTCTGAGTGTGTTATCAGAAAAGGCCAGTCTTTGGAAAAGGGCACTGAGTTTGGAAAATAGAGGCTCAGCAGAGGAGAGACCCTCAGTACGATGGATTGACACAATGACTGCAATGAGGCAAGCTGTTAGTGAGGATGTTACTGGTTTTACTGTAGTACTTGGAAAGCAGGGTTGAAAATAGTGATGATGAGCTGCAAATCAAAACAGCTATGGGATATCATCTCATCCAGTAAGAATAGGAAAATGTAACAGAATAGCAAACAACAAATGTTGGCGAGGTTGTGGAGAAACTGGAACCCTTATTCGCTGTTGGTGGAAGTGTAAAATGGTGCAACCACTATGAAGACAGTATGGCGCTTTCTCAAAAAGTTGCAAATAGAGATACCATTTGAGCCAGCAATTCCACTACTGGGAATATATCCCAAAGAGACCATAACTGACATCCAAGCAGATATATGCACCCTCATCTTTATCGTGGCTTTGTTCAAAATAGCAAAGAGTTGGAAAAACCTAAGTGCCCATCAACAATAAATAGATGGAGAAGCTCTGGTATATTCAGACAATGGAATATTGTGCTGCAGTGAAAAACAAGGAACTCATAAAATAGTATACAAAATTTGTAGCCCTGGAGAACATTATGCTGAGTGAAATATCTCACTCACAAAAGTACAAATACTGCATAGTACCACTGTTGTAAAACAGTACTGACATTGGGGTTTGGGGGAGACTGAGAAAGATGGGATAAATTATGTATACTTCATTGAAACAGATGAGAGAGAAAACTGTTTAAAAGGGATATATGATTAAGTATTATTGTCATGACAGGAGTCCAGAACAAACACTGCATAGTGGAATGGACTTGGGGGGGGGGGAATTATATAAAAATGAAAGACTTTTTCTTTTCAAAGAGAAGAGCGAATGGGGGGGGCTTGTTGGGCAGGGAGAAAAGTGCAACAATTAATGAATGGAAATTCAAAATTCCTGTAAACTTTCATTGAAACTAATTTAAAAATATAAAAAAATAGTGGTGATGACAAGAATAGGCTAGAGCAAGGTGTAGATTTGTTGTGCATAGGGTAACTATGAGTTAGAACAAACTCAAGGGCACCCAACTATACTATTTCTCCATTTATACAGTAACTACTATTCAGGAACTATTGCAAGTCATGCTTCTCTTTAGAATTGTATGCACATTTTCTTACTGTATCCTCAAAATACTTGTGTGAATAAGAAGTAGGAAGATCATTATCCTCCTCATTATAATTTCCTGAGGGAAATTGTATGCTGTACTAAAGTCACTTAATATTAGGCCGAGGTTCCAACGTAGATTGTCTAAGATTAGTTCTTATGCTCTTCTTTTATCCTTTAGTTTCCAGGAATTTCTGAAAAGCAAGTTTCTAAAGAAGACATAAATAAAAAGAAATCTTCTACATTGATAGAAAATTATCATATTATAGAAAATATCAATAGTAGTCCAAAATCAAGAAATTACTCTCCTATTTCATAACAATTGTCAAAGATTAAGCAAGATCAGAACTGATACTTTTCTACCGATAGGAATTTCAAAGTCTTGACAAAAGAAGATAATGGAGTTGAAAATGACAACACTACTCCATTTCCCAGATTGTACTGGGAATATGACGCTTCCCTGGTGGTTATTTTGGGTGTTTTTTCTTAACGTTCAATATTGATTTCAGTAAATATGATGTCTTGGGCAAGGAAGAATGCTGGTTATATTCTAATGGCATATAAATGCCATTGAGGAACAATAAATATTAGACAATGACAGTAAAATCTATGACTAATATGAGTTGTGGCAAGTGACTAAACTTTCCTGAAACTCAATTTCCTCATCTCTGAAATGGTGTAATGAGACTATTTGGTGTAATTTGACTATTAGAAGAGCTGTATGTTGATCAATGTCAGAGTTGAACTATGTTCATTTGTGGATCTACTTCAACTTTCCATTCAGCAACTGGAGCATATTAGCTAAAAAAGAATATTTGTTAGAAAAAAAAATGTAAAATTTGAGTCCTTGGTTGAACACAAGAATCTACAGGTTTCTTTGTTTGTGGTACATATACAATTGAACAGCCCATATGTCTTCAGTATTCCTTAATAGCTAGCTTCTAACCTACGCATTTTCTCTTCTAGGAAACAGTGATGTGGAAATGATAAAAGGGATGAAGAAAGAACAAACACCAGTCCTGGATCGCCTTCATTTATAACCTGTATATATTAAAACTCTGACCTTATTAGCTCTCAAAACTGGTATCAAGCTGTTGGGGTAATAGACTCACTGGTTTTCAGTCTTTTCCATCTTTTATCTCCTAGACTGTGATCTGAGGGAATATCTCCATCTATCTGTATTCTGGAAACCTCCTGATCGCAATGCTGTCTGTCCAACTGCTTGTTGTAATAAAATAAGCTCAGCAGAACATTTCTGGGATTTCTTTATCACAGCCTGGATAACAGGACCTTGTTTGAATAGATGCTGAATTAATGCAACGTCTTTGTCTTGAAACTCATTACTAGACAGATGATGTTTATATTACTTAGATTAAAATTGCTGCCACAGATTGGGAAGAAGTATATTGAAGTTTGGAGAAATGAATTTTCAGGTAGCAAACAATTGCATAGAGTCAAGAGAGCTGTCAGTCAACATAATAACTCAGTTAAAAGCCAGTTATGTTCACAACTTATTACCGTACCAACTTTCCCATCTCTCACTAGGTTTCTATGCTTCCATTAGTAGCATAGCTGTCTCTTAGTTAGATAGACTCCCACTAAAAGATTCAAGCTAGGAACTTTACGTACACAGAGCACTCTGCCCACAGTTTAGGGAATAGTTCTGAAAGCATAGTGTGTAGTGTAATGCACTTCTAACCCAAAGTCTACAGTTTGAATCCAAGAGTTTCTCCAGGGCAAAAAGTTGGAGCAATCTCTTCTCATAAAGATTAACAGTTTAAAGCTTAATGTAGGATTGTGACTCATCAAAATTAACTTAATAGCAATGATTTTGGGGTAGATGATTAGATTAGATCAAATATAGACAGACAGACAGATATGGTGCATAGAGATATACCCCAAACCCACTGCATATGACATTAAGGCATATGTATATTACTTAGCGAATTTGCATACAACATTAAACTTAAAGAAAATAGAGTATGACACTAAATCAAAAGAAAACCTGTTGCCTTAGAGTTGATTCTTACTTATGACAACTGTTCCATAGAGTTTCCTTGGCTGTAGTCTTTACATAAACAGATTGCTAGACTTTTTTTCTCTATGGATCACTGGATGGGTGGGTTAAGGGTAAGAAGTGGTGTTGCCAGCACAAAGATGTGAGGTTCAAGCACATAATTGCTTCCTGACAGATAGCTGGGCAATCTCCTCCCATGCAATTTAGAACCTCTGGAAATCTACTGAAGGGTCTACAGTGAATTATTTCTGACTCAATGATACACAGCAACATGAAAAAAAGAAAAAATACCCAAGACAGCTTTGGTGGCAGTTTGTAGGACTATAAATCCAAAGGTTTTACCTCTCTAGTTATTCAAATTCATCAGAGGCTCCATGGAAGAAAAATGAGTAATCTCCTGTGAGATTTACAATCTCTGTAAACCCACTGGAGCGTCACTATGACCTGGTTCTGACTCACCAGCAACAAATTTGAGGTTTTTTTTTTCCTTTGTTGTTTTTTATTTGTTTGTTTATTTGTTTGTTTGTTTGTTTTTTAGTTTAAAGCAAATCATGGGCACCACTTATAGATCATACACTTATGGTGAAAATCTATCACAATTGACAGTGCATCTCCAATGACAATACTTAAGAATGCTTTGGAAGATACTAGAAGTGGATAATCTAACTAGTGATGCAAGCATTAGATATAGTGGTGGATGAACCTTCTTGAAATCTGACTCAGTGCAGAGACTCTGCCCTCAGGATATAGCTGTTGGAGAAGCATCCAAGTACCTAAAAGGTACTTTATTTAAGTGAACTCCCAAGTGAGAACAATTATAAGTGATATCACATGATATAAGTAGCAATAGCTGTGAAACAATGTTTGGGGTGATAAGTCTACTTGCATTTGGGTAATATATGTTTGTTGTTTTGCTTTATTTTTCATTTTCTATCTGCTCATTGTTAATAAATAACAATTAGATCAATTGTATTATGAGTTTGAAATAATATCTTTGTTCTTTGCAGCTGAATAAAGAAAATAAATAAATCTTAATGCTGTTTTCCTTTAAATGTTATCGTTTACAAAAAGAAAAAAGTGTATAAATAATCTTTCAAACATGATAGCCACATAAAGGGAAATAAAAAAGAAAAATCCTCTGGCGTTATTTTCCTTAGCCATGCCAAGAAGTGTAAAATAAGCTTACAAATGTTATAATATGTAAATGTCAATCTCATTTCTGGTCTCTTCTAGGTTAAGACATAAAAATTATTCTCATGGCCATGATATATGCTGTTTAAGAAGTTAGAGATTTTAATAAATTCATAAGACAAGTCTTTCACATTTCTTTATTATTGTTTTATGATTAAGTTAAAATGCATTGAAAGATTCTGCCATCAAACACTGAAGGCTTTTTAAAACAAATGGTGTTGGCAAAATTGAAAAACTATCTGCAGAGGACTCAAGCAAGATCCACACTTCACTCCATACACAAAAACCAACTCTAGGTGGATCATGGACCTAGGACTAAAACCAAGGACTATAAACTTCATTAAAGAAAAGCTTGGAAGAACTCTAGAGGTCTTAATCCACAACATTAACAGTCTTCCAAGCATCCTGAATAATATACAACCAGGAGAAGATAAAATAGATGAATGGGACTTTCTAAGAATCAAATCCCTATGCACATCCAAAGACTTCTCCAACAGGGCAAAAAGGGAAGCCACGGACTGGGAAAAAGTACTTGGTAGTGACAAATCAAATAAGGGACATATACGTATATCTAGTATTTATAAAATACTTGAGCAACACAACAAGATAAAGGTAAACAATCCAATTGAAAAATGGGCACAGGATATGAACAGACACTCACCAAAGAAGACATTCAGATGTCCAACAAGCACATGAAGAAATGTTCAAAATCCCTAACTCTAAGAGAGAGGCAAATCGAAACAACTGTGAAATATAATCTCATCCCAGTAAGAATAGCAAAATTTCACAGAACAGCAAACAACAAATGCTGGCGAGGTTGTGGAGAACCTGGAACCCTCATTGACTGTTGGTGGAAGTGTAAAATGGTGCAACCACTGTGGAAGGCAGTGTGGCAGTTATTCAAAAAGTTACAAATAGAGATACTGTTTGACCCAGCAATTGCACTACTGGGAATATACCCCAAAGAAACCATAACCACCACCCGAACAGATATATGCACACCTATATCACAGCTTTGTTCAGAATTGCAAGGAGCTGGAAACAACCTAAGTGCCCATCAACAAACGAATGAATAGAGAAGCTGTGGTATATTCACACTGTAATATTACGCTGCATTGAAAAACAAGGAATTCATGAACTATTGTTCAAAATGGGTGACCCTGGAGGACATTATGCTGAGTGAAATATCTCAGTCACAAAAGGAAAAATACTGCATAGTGTTACTGTTGTAAAACTGGGCTGACATCAGGTTGGAGGCAGACTGAGAAAGATGGGATAAATAATGTACACTGCATGGCAACAGATGAGGGGGAGAACTGTTTAAGAGGCATATGTGATTAGGTATCATTGTCATGACAGGAGTCCAGAACGAAGGCTGCATAGTGGAGTGGACCTGGCAGGGGAGGGATTGTAATACAGTGAAAGAATTTTTCTTTTATTTTTCAAAGAGAAGAGTGTACTGGGGTGAAGAGGGGTGGGAAGAGAGAAAAGTGCAACAATAAATGAATGAAAATCCAAAGTCTCTGTAAATTTTCATTAAAATTAATAATAATAATAAAAGAACACTGAAGGCTTAATTCATTTTTATAGGCATTTTAGTATCAAAGATGTGCTCACACCATGAGAATAAGAGTAGTTTAGGGATGGGAGGTTTCATAGGTCTGGGATGGAATGAGGTGAGTCTAGAGACTCAATGACAATCAGTGCAAAGTGAGGGTAGAAAACATCAGTAGTGGGATGTGGCCGAGGAAAAGAAATTGAGCATGGATTTGAAGTTTATGGACAAAGGTTAGGAGTGTGAGTATGTAGAATGCATTACTAGAGATTTAAATATCTTTTAAAAAGTTGTATAGGATGACATAAAAATGTCATGAAGATAAAAATGCATCCAGTAGCCAAAATGGAATAACTGCAATACAAATTAAACTACTGCATGACTTGTTTCCTACTTATATTCTGATGAAAAGACGACAAAAGAAAATCAGATCCATCTTACTGTTGCTCTTCTCTCAACTCTAAAATTTTAAAACAGGAAGCCATAAATATTCCAAAAACGTAACTAGAGAAACAAAAATGCTTCTGCCACTTCTTTCTGGTCATTGCCGCAGATT